ACTCGCCACCTGCAAACCATTTTTGGATACATTTTTGTCGCTTTTTTTTTAATCTTTTAGATAAAAAATCTCGGTAGATTTTGAATTTTCAGAAAAAAAAGGACGATAACCCCTGCGCATGAGTCTAAAGAATCATTCTGAACCCAAAAATCGGCAAAATAAAGAGAAATGAAAGCAGAAGAGTGTTTGGAAAAAAACCTCACATTCGATACAGAAAGCGGTCAAGGGTCAATTCCAAGCGAGCTTACTTGGTTCCGACCCTATTGGCGAAATTTCCATTTTGACCCGAAAAAATTTAGTCCAAGTTACCCGTGTCAACTTTTCTCGATTTGGGACGGAGAAAAATATTCGAGATTTCAGTTGCATCCTACGTTGCTGGAAGCGTAGAATCGATTCAGCACGGTCCCGACTCTCGGCGAGGCTTCCTAAGCCGAGAAACAGTTAAAAACTGGTCAAAAACGAGCTTTTCTGACCACTTTTTGACTCTTTCTCTGGAGCGTTTTCAGCGGCTAGCTCGAAGCAAGGGCCTTGCGGAGCTATTCCGACTGGAAAATCGCACTCGGCGGGTCAATTCCAAGCGAGATTACTTGGTTCCTACCTGATCGGCGAACTATCGATTTTGACGCTAAAAATTTAGTCCATGTAACCCCTGTCGATTTTTTTCGATTTTGGACTGAGAAAAAAATTTCGAGATTTCTGTCGCATCTTACGTAGTTGGAGGCGTAGAATCGATTCCGCTAGGTCCCGACTCTCGGCGAGGCTTCCTAAGCCGAGAAACAGTAAAAAACTGGTCAAAAACGAGCTTTTCTGACCACTTTTTGACTCTTTCTCCGGAGCGTTTTCAGCGGCTAGCTCGAAATAAGGGACTTGCGGAGCTATTCCGACTGGAAAATCGCACTCGGCGGGTCAATTCCAAGCGAGATTACTTGGTTCCGACCCGATCGGCGAACTATCGATTTTGACGCTAAAAATTTAGTCCATGTAACCCCTGTCGATTTTTTTCGATTTTGGACTGAGAAAAAAATTTCGAGATTTCAGTCGCATCTTACGTAGTTGGAGGCGTAGAATCGATTCCGCTAGGTCCCGACTCTCGGCGAGGCTTCCTAAGCCGAGGAACAGTCAGAAACTGGTAAAAAAGGAGCTTTTCTGACCACTTCTCCAGTCGAGCAAAGTTTACGGTTATATATTTCCGGTTAAGTAAAATTCGGCCGGACGATCGGTCGATTGATTTGAGTTTCCGGTTTGGGTAAGATCACCGGTTTAGTAAAGTTTTGGTTAGCAGGGTTAGATCAGAATTTAGGATTTGTAGGATTTGTGGTAAATTTGAGATTCTAGTTAATTTATAGATTCATTTCAGGGGATCAAGTGTCCCTTTTAAAGGGTTTCTCACCTAAAATTCCGTATCAGATAAGATTTATTTGGTCATCAATGCTCCATCCATCCCTGCTTTACGCTTTCTTAATGGACCAGTAGACAAAGTACCTACCTTTGCTTCGCAATTTTGATTATTCACAGTTAATCAAAGAAAGCTCATTTTATCCGTCCGAAACGTTTTAAATTCACTACAGCTTTTGAGTAAGTTGCGATGGTAAGTATCTGTGCATTTAGCCACGGCTCATTTAGCCACGTGGCTAACTGCAAGAATTTTTGTTGCAGATTGCCACAAACTCTGGGTGCTGTGTGGCTAAATGAAACACGAAAAATTAGTGTGGCTAAATGCAAAAAAAATTGTTGCAGTTAGCTCCAGTCTTTAGAATGGCCTACCAAATTCAGCGAAAAAAACTGTTATTTATCCTTCCATTCTTATTTTACTGCAGTGCAAGTGATTTAATTGAAGATCTGGAATAGATTAAAAGTATAAAGAACCATTTATATTGAAACCAATCTTTATTTCAATAATTTTACCATCCTCCACTAGTGACCAGTGCAATACTGATTCTACTTTACGCTGAAATACATGAAAATCTACTAATAGGAAAGTATCCGGAGGAATTATTGACCACATGCATGTACGTCTTTTTCCTTAGATTAGGTCATTAGGTAAGGTAAGGTTAGGTAAGGTTAAGTTAGGTTAGGTTAGGTGAGGTGAGGTTAGGTTAGGTTAGGTTAGGTTAGGTTATGTTAGGTTAGGTTAGGTAAGGTAAGGTTAGGTAAGGTTAGGTTAGGTAAGGGTAGGTAGGTTAGGTTAGGTTAGGTTAGGTTAGGTTAGGTTAGGTTAGGTTAGGTTAGGTTAGGTCAAGTTCGTCTCGATTAGGTTCGGTAACGCTGCAATGTAGATACCTGGTTTTATCCTTTGGCCATGTGGCTAACTGCAACATAATTTGTTGCACTTTGCCACGTTTGCCACACTAATTTTTCTTGTTTCGTTTAGCCACATAGCACCTAAAATCTGCGGCAAGATGCAACATTTTTTGTTGCATTTTGCCATGTGGCTAAATGAGCTGTGGCTAAATGAGACGTAATCAGTTGCGATCTTGTAAACGACGACTCTTTCAGTTTCGCTTCAGAATACGATGACCGAACCAAAGGGCTTAAAATACACAATCTGATCCAGCCGCCTGCGCTATCTTCTTTGAAATAAGACGTAGAGACCGAAAACAATCTTATTATTTTTTCAAAATAATATTTTCCTCGGCATTTTTCGAATATGCGGCTCGACTTAAAACCAAAACTTATTAACTTTTTTGTCAACATCATTGTACAAAGCCACTCATAACGGATACAGAAGAGCGCCTTCAAATCAATCCGTAAACTTAATGTAAAATTCTGATACCACTATTCAGGCTTCACGGCAGTCATTTTGCATACCCGGCGATTTGAAGGCGAATCATCGACTTCAGGCTACGGCGTACGAATTACAGCAATGTCATTCGGTAGGTATTCAAAATTCGGTATTCGGTTAGAACAATTATTCAAAAGTATCGCTTTGCGATATATCGATTGATCTACCATTTAAACCTATGGAAAAAAATCGATTAACAGGGTGTTCGCAGCGAACATATGATAATCGATTCTTAACCACAGCTTCAAATAGGGATATATCGAAAATCCATCATTCACGCCTCTCCAATGATTGGAAAAATGAATAACAAATAAATATCTACACTAAAATTCGAACAGTCGACATATTTTTATATTTATGAACAGTAGGTACACTAAATACAGCAAGCATAATTATTGATTAAAAAACATCGAGCTACAAGCCAAAATGAATAATATAATATAGTATTTCAAACTACATATGTAGACGAGAAAAACACATCTTACGAAAAACAAAGCAGACGTTTCTCTCATCTACATATAGTTTGAATTACTTTGTTATATTATTTATTTTGGCTTGTAGATCGATGTTTTTTAATCAATAATTACGTCTATATAGCTTAGCCAGCCAAATTTGGCACTAAAACGTATATACAGCAAACACTGGGCTTTTCTAATGACCTATGTGGTTGATCGATTCGGATACGCAATTGACAAAAGAAATATTTAAATTCAGTCGTGTAAACCGAGCATTCGGTGTTGATCTTGTGAACTATTTGGTTTTCAAACCAGACTTCCAGTTCGCGTAACCGAATCTTACATTGGTTTCGATTTAATTTGAATCTGCACAGGGCCGGATTCACCTACTTGCCGCCCATGGGCCGCATGCAGTATTTTGCCGCCCTCTTCTCATTCGTCGTCGCAAACATCGATACAAACCATAAAATGAACGTGCTGGAGGAGTGGGGGTGCATGAAACACGTTTGCTCGTGTTAGACACATTTTTTGCGAAAGCCCTGTCAACACCAGCAAAAATTCACGAAAATTTGCACGAAAGTTAAGATCCGTAAACCAAGCTCTGTGCAGACAAGGCTTTGCATTTACAAGAGTCGAAAGAAAAAACATGAATGCTATTTAATAATTTTAATAACCGCCACTGCGCCGACCACACTGTGTTTGGCGCAATGCGTGAAGTATCCCTACATATTTGTAGGAGGTATGCGTTTCACGCCGACGCGACCGCTGCTGATCGCAATGTTTTTGACGCAATGCGTGAAGTATTCATGCAGTCTTGTAGGCGCTATACATTTCACGTCAACCGGTGCTGACCGCACTACGTTTGACGCAATGCGTGAAGTATTCATGGTGTCTTGTAGGCGCTAATATGTGTTCCATGCTGACCGGCGCGCCGATGGCTTCTCTTTTCATCTCAAGTCTTCGTCATCATCGTTCTCTGCGCCGCGCCGCTCCAGCCCAAATTGCGTGTTTAGTTTCTCTCTCAACCAGACTAATAAAAGGTGCTGTCTCTTGTATCACCGAAAGACGAACAAATTAGAAATTACTATACTTTATTTAACTCTCAGGAAATGAGAGATTTTGTCGTCATTTTTCGTTTGTAATTTTTTTCTGAATCCTAATTTTTTTTTTTTTGATACCTACATTTGAAAAATTTCAAAATTTTCCGCCATGGGCCGTGGCCCATGTGGCCACCCCCTCAATCCGGCCCTGAACCTACATCTTTCATCAAGAGAACTACCAACGAACGCCTCGATCGAGGTAAAAATAACTGATCAATACGGCTTCATTCAAAAAGTTATGCAACTTTCCTCACATAATGTCCGTTCTCCATCCATAACGACATTTCGTTCAGGATTTACTTCATCTTTATTTCTAAATCCTTATTTCTAAAGAAAGTTTCTTTTTGGGCGGATCATATTATTTTAGCTAACCTGAATTGAGCATCAAAACACGATTCTGTGACCAGCACAACTGACCCATATCGACGGTGAAAGTCGGCAATCACATAACTCGGTTTGCAACGTCGCAGACTTCCTGTCATACTTTATTTTTGAAACGGAAAACCACTCAACGATTCTTTAAAACTGCCGTGATTTTTCTTCTATGTGCGAGGAAAATTCTGCAAAAACTTCAAGGAATCATGTCCATTTGTTCTCCTTTAAAAAAATAACATAGTTTCGGAGATTTTCAGACACCGCAAACGAGTTATGTGATTGCCGACTTGCACCGTCGATATATAAAAATACATTAATAAATTAGGGTCGAATTTAATTTGTGCCTATCCCTGAACCTCATCTCGAGTGCTTCGGGAACTTTTTCTTCCTCGAGGATGACCAATTTGTTGATCCCGGGATGAGCTTTCAAGTAACAACCTGGTATATACAGAGTCACTTGGGGTCCAACACTGGGCCAATAACGACCCATGTTCTTGCCGTTCACAAATACTACGCCCTGAAAACAGATATCGCAAAATGTATTATTGCAATGGAACACATGCAATTTCCGGAAGTCTGCCACGTCGCAAACCGAGATACGTGGTCGCGGATTTACACCGCCGATATAGATACATAAGTGGCGTGGCGTGAATTGCGATGTATCGATTGTCATGCCATTTAAACCTATGGTAAAGAATCGACTATTAAGGTGTTCGCTACGAACACCCTGTTTATCGATCCTCTCCCATCGGTTAAATGGCATTACAATCGATACATCACAAAGCACGCCACGCTTCTGATGATACATAGATAACGATGAACGTCTTCAACCAAAAATGCGTTTAAGGGTGAACATTGCGTGAAGCATATCATACGCATTTTTTTTACATTTTTTGTAATCCCTCCGTTTGAAATAGAATGTGGTACCTTATCTTTTTATCTGATGTTTTTAAATAATTGCCGGTATTTTTAAAATTCCCCACTCACCGCAGCGGTCTGGTTATACAGGGTTATTCAAAAGTCACGCACCACTGGCCCTGAGGGTGGTGGCCATTTGAAATTTTTGAGTTGCTCCTCACCCTCCCCCCTCTTCGTAAGGGAGTCAAAAACTGGAAAGTGCCTAAAAAATTGCTCCCCTCGATATAGGAAAAAACGTCATAATTCGCAAGTCGATGTATTAATTAGAACTAAAGTTATGGCGAGTGGTGCGAGACTTTTGAATAACCCTGTATAAGTTGATGGACAAAGCTACAGACAAAGAGGGCGAAGGAATGATGGAGTGAGTCCATCGACAGTTGAAACCGGTGGCGGAAATGGACAGAGGAAATTAGTTTACTGTACTGACTAACATTCTTTCACGAAAGCCTCCACAGTTAGTCCATCATTTTCCATCTGAGTCTTCAACAACCACCTGCTGCAACCAATGGGATCGCTCCATTTTCCCCTTGCCCTCTTTGCCTATAACTTTGTCTATCAGTTCAATAATCAGTCCGCGGAGAGTAATTAAGGCCCTCCCATAACGTCTCTGCAAAGGCGACAACTTTTACTCTGGAAGACTCAACATTTCCAGAATTGGTAGTTCCTTTACGCAAAGGGAGAAAATTATGGACAAACTATAGGGTCTCTCTTGGGTTGCCTATAGTTAGTCTGTTACCAACCTCCTTTGTTCATTGTAACCACCTACTTCCACCAATAAGATCCCTTCATATCCCTTTTGTTTTCTTTTTCTAGAGCTTTGTCCATCAATTTCAATAATTGACCTGCAGGTCCGATTATCGCACCTTCTTATCGCCTGAGGAGCTAGAAAGTGCTCACTAAGTTCTCCAAGTTTCGTCTTATTTGCCAAACGAATGAAGCAAATGCAAAAGCAAAACAATAAGGTGATTTCAAGGGTCAAGTGGTGGAAGCTTCGAAAGAGGAAGTTCCTACTTGTGGGTTGATTGTTGAAATTGATAGACAAAGCTATAGACAAAAGAGATACGGAGTGATTCTATTGGTGGCAGTGAGTGGATGCAATAGACAAAGAAATTAAGTAATAGACTAACTAAAAACAACCCACGAGAGACACTATAGTTAGTCCAGTCTACAACAATCACCCGTTCTCGTCAATAGAATCGCTCTATCATCCCTCTCTCTTCTTTGTCTATTGTTTTGTCCATTAAGCCCGCAGTCCCTTCGTTCCCCCAAAAACTTAGTTTCTTGCTGGTCAATTCAATTCAATGCGCGCACTCCATGCCGCACAAGCAAGCTCCAGTGTGTTGCGGAGTAAAATCGTTATTTGAAGGCGCTTTTAAAAACGGGGGAGAGAAACATTCTATTGCTTTTTCTATCAATTTCAATGATCAGCCCGCTGTGGCCAGCAGTAGGCTATTGAGGGGTGGCTCCATTTGTCTTCGGTTCTCTTTTATCATTATTTTTTATCATCATGTATCACAAAGAATATCCCTGCCCCAGAAAATGCATGGACTCAAGGAGCACAGTGCAACGAAAACATTGAAATTAAATTGCAATTTGATTTTAAAAAAAGTGCAATATTTTTATATCATTTAGTCGCTTTATGCCGATTTTGAACGATCAACAAAATGAGTTTAATGTGTCAGAAAGATAGGCAATATGCAATACAATGAAAAATTGCAACTTATTTCAATATTACTGCAATTAGTTTCAATAAATGGGGTCCCTTCAAATAGGAGCTAGGCAACATACACAACACTCAGTGGAATTGGAATATTTCGACGGTGACAGTCGGCAATCACATAACTCGGTTTGCGACGTCGCAGACTTCCTGTCATACTTTATTTTTTAAATGGGAAACTACTCAACGGCAATTCTTTAAAACTGTCATGATTTTTCTTCTCAATGCGAAGAAAATTCTGCAAAAACTTCAAGAAATAGTATCAATTTGTTCTCCTTTAAAAAAAATGACGTAGAGGCGGAGATTTTCAGACACCGCAAACGAGTTATGTGATTGCCGACTTTCACCGTCGATTTTTACTATGCAATTGCTATACTTATTGCAATCTGTGCTACTTGGGATATGGCCCAGTGACTCGTGGAATCGTATGAGTAATGCTTACTTTGCCCCACCCGCTAGGGTCCAGGAACGTATCTGCAGGTTGGGCCGTATCTCCATTCTCCTGGGGTAATTGGAAATCTGCCATGTAGAAAGCCGGCAGTTTTACCATTGAGCTGATAGGGGCGGTCATCATATCATGAAGCGGCTCTATGTTCGGCAAACTAATTTTGGTCATGGTCCATCCCAGAAGTGGTCTTCCGTCCATCGAAGGAATCGACAGGAGACCCTAAGGGCGATATTCTTAAAGATAAAACTGGCGACTTCTGTGCGGGACCATCTAACTCAAGTCGATGTAAATTTTTTTTCAGTAAATTGAAGATCGAGCTAGCAAGCCAAAAATAAATACGCTGTATAATATAAATCCAGGGGCACCGTCGGTTTACTTAGTTGGGTCAAATTTTGCCTTTGGATTTTTTTTTTTTTTTTAATATCTCCAATTCAAAAAGAAAATGAAACCTCAACACGGTAAGGCGCAAGTATCCATACTAATGAGGTTGAATTTTGTGACTTAACACCGAAAACTTTATTCATCGAGCAGTGGCGTTGCGTGCTTTGCGATTTATCGATTATGTTGATGAAATTACCTTTCTCCCGATCACTTTTTATCTGGTTCTCAGACGATACGAACGCGGGGACGCGCGAACGCTCAGACGGGTGATAAGAACGTGTTCGCGACGGGTGCACCCACGAGTTTTTAAAGTGTTTTATAGTAAATTTTAGTAAATCTTAGTAAATTTTAGTAAATTTTAACAATATAAGATGTGACTGTTAGTGTTTACCGAAGTCGAAGTCGAAGACCTGATGATGATGATTAATATCATCGAAATAGCTATCGTCTGAGAACCAGATAAAAAGTGATCGGGAGAAAGGTAATTTCATCAACATAATGCAGCCCGATAAAAATAAGTTCAACTTTAAATTTATCGATTAATCTACCATTTAAACCCACGGAAAAGGATCGATTAATAGGGTGTTTGCAGCAAACACCTTAATGATCGATTCTTTACCACGGATTTGAATGGGGAAATATCGATAATAATCGATCATTCACGCCACGCGACTGTCATCGAGTCAAGCGTAACGAATTATACGCTCGTATTTTATAATACTTCTCTGAAATATACTTTTTAATGCCTCATGTTTGAAAAAAGTGTCCATGAAGTTTTGACTCAGCATCTACCACTATATTTGAGCAATGTGATAGTTATATGAGGCACATTTCAATGCCAATTTGGCTGGCTTTCATGAAACATGGTAAAATTATTGAAAAAATAATCGAGCCACAAGCCAAAAATATATCAAACAAGTAATATTTCAAACTACCTAGAGATGAGAAATACTAAAGAACTTACAGGAAACAAAACGAAACAAACGTTTCGACCGCCAATTAATACTGCGGTCTTCCTCAGTGCAACAGGTGGAAACATTTTACAGAAACAAAACAAAAATTTATAAAAAAAAAAAAAAACTACAAAACTATTAGCAAACTAAGTAAAGTGAAAGTAGCGAAGCAGTATTTCTCATCTCTACGTAGTTTAAAATATTATTTCTTTAGTTTATTTTTGGCTTGTACCTAGCTCGATTATTTTTTCAACCATTTTACCATGTTATATGAGGTATTTGTAACTTTTTACCACTTATAAATGATTTTATTTAGTTTGTCGTTTTATTTTCTTTTTAGATAATCTTCCGCAAGAAGGAGTACATCGCTTTTTGAAGGATGATAATATTAAAATGCATGACAACAGCATAAACACGCGTGATCTATACTAACCTTTAAATCGCCTTGCATATGCGGATCGTAGTTGACGTATCCTTGATTTTCGACGAGTATGCTCAATTTTTCCCCTCTATCTTTTTGCAAAAGAGACAATGAATTCAGTCCAGATGATCTACTAAAAATAGCTCTTGGTTCCTGAAATTTAAGATATGTTTTTAATCACAACACGCGGCAAAAAAAGAAAAGTAAAAAAATGAAGAAAAACGATTGAAAAATTAACATCCTAATTTTTTAGTCCAAGATATTAACCATCTAATTTATAGATTGAGATATCAAGGATCTTGTATCTGCAAGTATCATCTGATGTACTGCCGTGCTAAGAAAAACCGCCGTATGAGCCTTCAGGCGTTGCAAAATTTCCATTTATAAAACACGAATTCCCTGGTAAACTTATGAACAGTTTTCTTCCAATATTTTCAGATAATATTGCTTGCATTAAAAAATTCGAAAGTGGTCATCGGGTATCTGATTGACTGAAGGGCAAGCGCGAGAAGCTCAGGCCACGACTGCTGTAATAAGGAAGAAAGCTGTATGAGCCTTCAGACGTTGCCAAGTTTCCTTCGATAAAAACCGAATTTACTGGAAAAATTTTGAATATTCACCCCCAAACATTTCGGACTATTTTGTACGCAATTTAATCTAAAATTTCTGAAAATTTCAAAGGAAAATGTGCGTGAATGTCGTCAAGAATACATGCCTTGTCAAGGGAAATTTGGCAACTCTCGAACGTTCATATGGCGTTCTTCCTCAGCACGGCAGAGGATCAGTCGACCACGCTTTTTCCCTATTCAACGCGGGCGCTCATTTTCTCCATCGGCGGATCCAGCAAATTGGCAACACTGTTTTCCTCCATTTAACATAGGATTAAATGGAGGAAATTCGTTGTTGCCAAATTGCTGGATCCACCCCTGATTTTCTGTTTGCTTACCTCATCCAAATAAACGGTGGCTCGGTCTCGAACTTTTAAAATCGACAGAGTAGCGAAGTCGGGAATTTTTTTTGGCATATACGTTTCATAGAGCACATAACCTGAGTATACTTCCAACGTCTCAAAGCTCTGCGGGATTTTTTCGTAAAGTGGCTCATCGTCGTAGATTTCGGGTGCGTTAAAAATTGATACAACTGCGGATAACTTGACGGAACCGTAAGCCTTTTTCGGGAAGTCCATCGGTGTACCGTGCGTTGCGCCACTGAAGCTCAATTTATAAGAGTCTGCGAACTTACAATCGAAAATTAAGCGAATCAATAAAATAAAAAAGTAAACATCCTGATCCAAACGGACCACGCTTAGCAGAATGGAATCCAAGGCGCGTGTGTTATTGCCAAATTTAATTGGGCGATTAAAGTTTTTACACAAACACGTTTGTGCGAATTCCTTTGAAAATTTGAGGGAATTTGCTTCACTGGAAAAAAAACACATTGGATCTAGAGTCCAGACTCTTGAAAACATCGACAAGAAAAAATACCCGCGATTCAATCGGATTTTTGCTTAAACCAAGAGCCAAGCCTCTTAATTAGAGCGGATTTCCTTTTGATTTAAGCTTAAATCTGATCAAATCAAGAGAATTTTTTCTTGTCAATGTTTTCAAGAGTCTGGACTCTAGATACAATGTGTTTTTTTTCCAGTGTTCGCACGGTGCAGAAAATTCTATTTTATTAATAGTTTTCATACAAACTTTTTACTTGGAAGATCAGCTTATGAGGAGTTCCAAGTCTCAACAGCTACCTTGAAGTCTCCATCAGAGGATTAGAAGGTGGTATATATTTGTATCATGATTTTAAATATTACAATACACCGATGATTAAAGGCATTCGATGGAAGATGGAAATTAGCGGTTTTCTTAGGATTCGAAACCACCCTCTCCCTTCCTGAAAAAGGGTTCAAAGCTATATGAAACAAACATTTTCACCGCATTGTATCACCAGTGTATCGAATCTCCGAGAATATTGTAAGCCAGAAATATCAAAATTTGAAAAAAAGGAACTTAGCGGTTTTCGCATGATACGATTCAATTGCCGGTTCAACAGACCACTTACTTTTTTGAGGGTGCTTCGTATCGCAAAATATTTACTTGTAAGGTCTCCTGCCTCACTGATTGGCGCATCATAGTCATAGGATGTTATGTCAGCTTTGTAGGGCTCGGCATTTGCACCTAGAATCATTTAGATTATACATTTTGCAATTGAGGACTACTTTTTTCACCTCACTGATGACATTCATTAATTTTCACTCGCATTCAACGAAGGGAAACGAGGTTCCTTGCTAGGTACATGGGCGGATCTAGAGTCCCTTTATACTGAGAGTCAAGACAACACCCCTCATGGAGTCACAAACGGGAATAAAGATTACACAAATTGAACGTTTTTCGTAATCTTTGATCGGCTCATTCTTAAATTCCTTTCTCCGTTCCTTCTCTCATTCCGTTTGTTCCTTGTCGAACCCGAAATTCCTCGGTCCATTCCAGATTATAATCTTTGCAATTGGTGA